CTTAATGACTGTGAGAAACTTATTACAGGTGTCTGTTTGAACCAAAGTGCTCATTAGACCTAAGTCTCTGCTGATTCTATCAAAACATTCGCAATAAAGAAAGCATTCTAGGCTCACAGAAGCTGGGGAAGTGCTGTCTAGAACCTCAATGTAAAGAAAGGTCAACGTGAGTGCATGTTTTTCCTTTTAAAATACCAGATGTGTAAAAAGAAGAACACAACCGTCCCTACCTTATGGGACAATTGAATGAGACCATCTGTATAAAGCATTTGCACAGAACTTGTCACTGTTAACCACTGCTGCCATCACCACCAGCACCATCACCTGCAGCTGCATTCTGGCCTCTCCGACAGACTGGGAAACTTCCTGGCCTGGAAGGCCCAGGCATTACACCTGTAGCTGTGTGTGTCTCTAGTGCTTGGCCCAGGGCCTTACACATAGGTAGCACCCAATTAATTTTAGGTTATAAAGACCATAATGAGAGTTGTCGGAAGCTATGTCAGGCTGTATTATTATTCAGTAAGTATTCATTCCTCTTCCCTCCCTCCCTCTATAGAAATATTCTTCGCTGCCCCACCTCAACACTGAGCTTACCCCTAAGGACCTGCTCTGGCTAATAGGATGTGAGCCCGTTCTGAGCAGAGGCTTTAAGAGGCACTGCAGGTTTCAGCAACCCTGTCGCATGTCTGACCTCCCCTTTGAGAACATCACATCCCAGATAACTGTGCACTCCTTCGGCCTGCATCCTGCAACGGGAAGACACGTGGAACATGCACTCAATTCACAGCCTGCAACAGTGCTGCTTCAACTGTTCTCCAGTCTCAGGAGCAAGGAAAAAAAGTCTGTGTTGATAAGCCACTGAAATTTTGTGACTGGTTGTTATGCAGCCATCATGATACAGAAAAATGTGAACAATGCATGTTTATAAAGGTTGTTATGGCATGCTGGAGTGGAAAGAGAGTGACTAAAATGACATTTGGTGCCCATTTCTGGAGTTCCAATCCCAGCTCAGATAATGTCCAGGTGCATGACCTTAACTGGGCAAGCATCATTACACTAGACCTTGCTGAACTACTGGCAATTATAAACAGTGTCCATAAAGCACCTAGCACAGTGCCTGGCATATAATAGATAGTTGATAAATGAAAAAAAAAATAATATAATTAGCAATAATGGATGGCAAAAATATCTTCCCAATTATAAATGATTAATGTCCTAAACTAGAAATTATTTATCTCAATTAAGCATTTCTTTAATCTTAAGTAAATAAAAATGGTGAAATCATTGCTTAAGTTTACAGCTTGCAAAAGAATCTAGTAGAAAATAACAGTTTAAAATAGATAATGTGTGCTTTCTAAGCCATCTAAAACCTAAACATTAAAGAATATGAATTCCTGTTGTGTCAAAGAATAAGAATGCATTCTTAGTGAAGGAAACAATGATTACATTGAGTCTTCCAGACTAGTAATTTAAATTGTGATCAAATCCACTGTGGTTGGGCCCCACAGTTAATCCATTTATTGTGAACATTATTAAACATTTATTAAATGCCTGTGAGTGGTGAAGAACTACAAGGTATGGTTTTGTTCACTGAGTTCCAGAAACGTGGAGAACATAAAATTACTAAATGGATCAACTACTCCCAGCACATGCAGTTTCACAAAACAGGAGCATGCAATTACTGAGGCACAGAAATAGATTTTTGATCCATTGGGAAGGCATTCAGGAAACTATCATTGCTAATAAATGATAGAAGATTTATCTGGATTGTAACACTCAACTAATAAGGAAATTTATCTAAAATATGAGCTCAATTCCCTGCCTTTCAAAAGTATAAGGAAAAAGACTCTACAGAAAAGATATAACCTGGTAGACACTCTCTGAAGAGGCCAAGTAAATTTAGGGTAGTGTTTCCGAACCACACGCAAAGGGAATGCTTGGAGTGCTTGAATGAAGAATCCTGGGCTCCTAGCCCAGGCCTACTGAATCGGAATCTTTGGGACTTGGCCCTGGGAATATGCATTGTTAAACTCTGTAGCTGATTCATGTGCACTCCTAAATTTGAGAACCACTAGACAATGTGAGCTATTAAGTAACCTTTGGCAGCTGACTTAAAGGTTCTTAAAAGACAAAAATCCAAACAAGTTTAGGCCATTCTATGCCCTAGGGTCAAATGGAGACAACAGAGTCTGAACTACAGTCTCAGTAACAGCTGCAGGGCTAAATAGCTGTTCACTCTGCCAGCAGCTCAAGCCATGATTTTTAACACTGGGAAACCAAGAGCTTATGGAGCATTTAACAGAAGTGCAAACCCAACAGCACCATGGTGATGACGTCTCTCTTGTTGGGCGTACATTTGCCAAACTTCTTAACCCTAGCATCTCCCTAACACAAGTCCAGGCAATCATTCCTCATCAACGTCTTGGGCTCGGCTATTAAAATCTCTAAGAGGTGAGAGGGGAGGAAGTAAGATGATTAAGAATATTATTATATGGAAATTCTAACCTTCATTAAAAACTTCAACATCAAGCCCCAACTTTTTTTTCCTATCATATAGAGAAAAGCATAGTTTTACTTTCTAAGAGAAGGAAACAAAATGAAAAGTGGAAAAGGACAATGCCACTATAGTTTTAAATATTAAAAATCCTCTGGGAAAGTAAATCAGAAACATATGTAATGAATGCCCCAAAAAGAGCACTGTATTAGGAGAGATCCATCTATGTCCTCTTGTGGGCATGTGACCAGACATGACTCCCGTAGCTTCTCTTTAACCCAAAGGAGTGAACATTTCCAAGAACGAGCTTTTAAGTCACACAGCAATGTCAACATGTACATGGCACTATTATCATCCGTGGCAAAGTGCATTGTATGTACTTTAGGATCTAACAGAACAAATGCAGAGCAGTAAGGCGTTTTCTCAAGAGAGGTAAAGGACCTCAAACTCCTGAAGTCAAGAATTATAAGGGAGGCTATATCATCAGAGGAAACGATACACACATTTTTCTGAAATAACACCCAAGATGAGAACAAAATAACATGGTACAAACGGGGGAAATCTAGGCCACTTTCACCAAATTGTTCCTGTTCTTCCCTGCATCGGGCTACACCAAGATGAAACTTCCTAATAAAAAAGCTCAACATGGCTTAATGTAGTCATCTAGCCAGCAGTAGTTAATGATTCAGTCCAAAGCTTTCCTGCTGACCCAACTGCCCACATCCACCTGGGTCCCAAAGGTAAGCTTCTCTAACAGGAAAGCCACACAAACAATGGGACTCCAAAGGAGATAGAAAGGTGATTAATGACCTGTGTCATCAGCCAATGAGCCCAGGGTTTAAGGACTTTAAAATCTGTTCAACACTTTATTGTCTTACAGATTTTAGATCAATACTGAATTCAAATATATGTAGGAACATGCAAGGAAGTCCATATTGGCTCTAGATGGCAGACAGCATAATATACTGCAGCACTCAGAGCAAAGTTTGAAACCTGACTCGAATTATACACCTTCTCTGAATGTCAGTTCAAGAGTTCATTATTAGTTCTACTCATGGGGCTATTGGGAGAAATAAATAAGACACGATTATAAAGCCCTTCAAACATTTTACTGCCCACTGTAAGTATTCAAAGAAATCATTATTATTAGTAGTAATAAAGTATTAGCACAGAGTAGACACTCAATAAAGATTACTTCCCAGCCTTACTCATTTTGTATGTCAAAGGTGAAAATATATTCCAAATCATATAGCAAGTTATATATAATAAAATTGAGTAGGTGGCTGAATCAGAACCCAATTTTCTTGACATTTACCTTTTCCTTTATTATGGCTATGAAGACAAATTTTATCATTTAACACTGCCCATAATCAGAGCCCATGTATACACAAAAATTACAGTTTAAATTTGTGAGGGTACAATCCTATCCAATATTTTATAGATTGCATCAAATCCTTTTTCTGGTGTGATTGATGTACAGTTAGTATCCCTATAATGGACCTTCCCACTCCCTGTTTTAATTATCATCATCATTACTGGGAACGAAGCGCCCTGTGAGTGTTGTTGAAAATGATTTAATATAGACACGTATGTCCTGAAGACTGTAATGTGCTAATATTGCCACTTACACAAGAATGAAGAAGACACAGCCCCTGTTTTGAGATGTCTTCAATCCAAAGTAGACTAGAAAAATGCACAGTGCTAATCAAGGAACATATACATATATGCACATGCCCAGGCACATGTACTCTTAAAGGACACATAATAAGAATAACAAAAAATAGAAAAAAATATACGTATCTATATTATGATGGAGGGTAATTAAATAGGTAGGGGACAAAAATAATATTGGGTAAATTCTGCCCCATATTCTAAAATATAACAAATTAATTCTTAAAAATAAAATCTTAAAATAAATTTATTTACTAAATAAAATCTACAACACGCCTGCTCTAGTCTATCACGAAAACATCTGTAAAAGCAGGTCTCTATATGTTAATGGAGCATATACAGTGCAAATGCTGTTGTTCAAGGGGCCAGATGTGCCCTTGAAACATGAAGACCAAGCTACTGATATCACTTCAGCAAAGCATTACTGTAAAGGAAAGATTAGTACACAAGAGCCATTTGAAAATCTATTTCACACTTCTAATGTAAAGCCAATTCAAATGTAATTTACTTTGTCAAGGCCCTTAATTTAGTGAAAGTCAAAAGTGCAATCAACAAAGGTGAAAATTACTTATGCTTATCAAGAGATAATCTAGAAATAGTGCTAAATAAGAACAAAAAACAAGGACATCGCCACTGAAAATAATGACCATCACTGTATAAGCAGGTCTTTTAAACCAACATATTCTAAGAAAAAGCTTTTACTGTGTCACCTCTACACCAAATACAACCTCATTTGTCATTCTATTTTAGTGTGTGAGAATATCCATTTACTTTTCCATTCTAATGATATGTGAGAGGCAAAACGTACACTTCTGACACAAAATATTAAACTTACCACTCTCGTCATCTATATTGAACCTTCCAAGACCACTGCCATCCCTGATGGAGTACTGGATCTCTCCATCCCTCCCAGAGTCCTCATCTCGGGCAGTCACCTGCAGCACACTTGTTCCAATACGCGAGTTTTCTTTTACAGATCCAACCACAGCAAAGTCTGGGAAATAGGGGGTATGGAGGTTTTCATTGACATCCACCACTTCCACCTCAACAAAGGAAACCGATGACAGAGAGACAGGCCGCCCTTTGTCTTTAGCCCGAACCGTGAGATTGTAGAACTGCTGCTTTTCATAATCCAGCTCTTTGCTCAAGCGAATGGCGCCACTTGCTTTATCGATTTCAAATCTCCCGTTATAGTCATTGACCAAAGAATAGCGCACTTGACCCCCCAGTCCAAGATCTGGATCGTGGGTCTCCAGCCAAGCGATGACAGTGCCCACGGGGAGATCTTCAAGAACCTTCACGCTATAGCTGCTGGGAATGAAGGCTGGGGAGCAGTCATTGACATCATCCAGAAACACCTTAAGAGTGACAACTGAAAAGAGCTGTTGGCCACTTTCTGCCTTGTCTCTGGCTTCTATTTTTAATGAGTAGTTTGCTTTGGATTCCCGGTCTAATTGATCAGCTACATAAACGATTCCAGTTGAGCTGTTGATGGCAAACTGCTGAGTGTCTGTCAAGACTGAGTAAGTCACTTCACCATTAGAACCCAGGTCTTTGTCTCTGGCTTCCACTTGTATAATCTCAGTGCCAATACTTGAACTTTCAAGAATGTTAACTGTGTAACTGTCTTGAAGAAAAATTGGGCTATTGTCATTAGCATCCTCCACATTGATGGTCAGCAACCTCCAGGAAGATTTCTGTGGATTTCCTAAGTCATAGATGGTGATATTAAGGAGATAGAGGTCTGTGTGCTCTCGATCCATGGGCATAAGGACTTTAAGTTGCCCAGTCTCCATATCAATATTAAAGCAACTATCCGTGTTGCCATCAGATATTGTAAATAGCACCTTTCCATTGAAGCCAGAGTCGGCATCATAGGCTTTAATCTTCAGGATGTTAGCACCAACTGGCAGATTCTCCTTCACAGCCACATCAGAGGGAAATGACTTGTCAAAATGTGGTCCTTGCCTATTAATTGAATAAAAGTCAAGAAATCCATCCTCCAGATTCAGTTTCCCATTTGCTTTTGCCTTAATGAGTAGTTTCTCTGCCAGCTTTTGAGCCACGCGAGTTTCTCTGCAACTGAAGCTCTTTGAAGACACCTTCCCGTGTAGGACTGAAATGTTTACAGACATGGGATCCGCAAAATTCTCTCCATCGGTCGCTGTAATCCTGAGGGCAAACTGACCATTTTTAATGCCAGAATTCATCAGTGACTTTTTAAGCTGTAAAACACCAGAGTCGGGGTTTAAATAAAAGAAACCAAGTTCATTTCCAGAGATGATTTTGTACTTTACAAGTTCAAGTTCATCAATATCGATGGCTGAGACAGCTGTGATGTGACCCCCAACTGGGAAATCATATGAAAGAACTCCCTGGCAAGCCACTTTCTCAAAGAGAGGGGTGTTGTCATTGACGTTTCCTATTTGAATAGTCACATTTACCTCACTTTCATGGCGATATGGGGAACCCCAGTCAGAGGCTCTGACAATGAACCTGTAAGTTTCTGGAGAGGACTCAAAATCCAGCTCTTCGGTTGTGCTAATAACCCCTGTAAACTGGTTAATGGCAAACGGCAACATATTCAGGCTGGCGATACTGTAGGTGATGTACCCATTTTCTCCTTTATCCTTATCAGAAGCTGAAACCATCAGGACGCTCGTTCCCACTGGAACACTTTCATTCACAAAAGCATCATACAGTGGCTGCTGAAATTCTGGGGTGTGGTCGTTCGCGTCTTCTATGCCGACGGTGACTTGTGCTTTTAAATCCCCTTCCTTGTTGGTCACCGCCAGTTTATAAACCTCCTTCTTAATGGTATTCAGCGGCTGTGCTGTGACAATGAGACCTGACCGAGGATTAATTTTGAAGTACTGTGCATCCTCCCCGGGTGACAATTTGTATTCCACATCCAGCGGTTCGGGACTTAATTTTACTATAGCAACCACAACACCAGGAGGGGAAAATTCACTAATGCTCACATCGTACATTTCTTTTTCAAATCTAATCGGGACTGTGTCTCTCCTGGGGTTGGCAATGTGGACTATCTTGATGGCAGAGGATTTCTGCGGCGAACCCTTGTCTTTTGCTTGAAGAGTGAGATTGTAGCCATAGGGAAAGCTCGCCCAGTCAACCTGTTTTCTCTCCTTAATCTTATATTCGTGTATCCACTTTCCTTCCTTAGTCAGGAAGAACTGATCTAAAGGATCCCCAGCCACAATGGAAACAGATTCAATCTCTCCATTGGCCCCCTCATCTAGGTCATCGACGGTCACCACCGCATATGTCGGCTCTTTGTCCAGCGAGAAAGGAACATGAGTGACTACATGGAGAGTTGGGGCGTGTTCATTTATCCGTTCAATGTGAACATAAAGCTTTGCAGTACTGCTCACTCCGTTGTTTCCATAGAGTTTCATCCCACGGTCCACAGCCAAAATTTCCAGATCATACCTGTTCTTTTCATCATAATTTAATCGTCCGCTTAAAGAGATGACACCACTCGTGGGGTGAACGGAAAAGAGATCAACTTTGTTTTTAAAGTAGTAGTAGAATTCCCCGTTGGAACCGATATCCGCATCTGTTGCTGTCACCTGGGCGACACTAGTCCTTAGAGGTGTGCTTTCTGCTATTGTAACAGAGTATGTGGTGGGTGAAAACAAAGGTCTCAGATCATTCATATCTAAAACCTGGATATTCACTTTGGTCCATGCTTCCAAATCCTCCCCTCTGACAGAACCTTTTATTATCAATAAATAATTGTCCTGAATCTCCCTATTCAATATGGCAGAATTCCCACCTTTAGTTCTTATTCTGAGAAAACAGAAATCTGCAATGATGACTTCTTCTGCTTTGAAAAAGCCTTCCTCATCTCCAGATACTATTCTGTATTTGATATCCCAGGACAGATCAATTAAGGTGATGCCCATTCTACTCTGACTGTTGATGTAGGTCCTGGCTGCTGAGTTCTCATACACTGTAGCATTGTAAACAGAATGTGTGAAGTGGAAGCCCAGGGGCCCGGTCCCCGGCAGCCCCTGGGAGACAGTGGCCAAGAGCTTGAGAAGCAGGAGGATGAGGCAAGAAGGAGGAGGCCGTGTACCCACACAGTATCCCATAGTTATATCCATCACATCATACTTCCATCCTGGAGGGGGGAAAAAGAGAGAGAAAAAAATAAGTTAACTTAGAGGAAAGTGGGAGAAGGCCTAGGAAATAACTGTTATGAAACAGTGCTATTAATACTTTTATTATAAAACCTTTTTACCATAATGCAATGAACATATCAGAAATGTACACTTGAAACTGATAGTATCCTATTAACCAATGTCCCCCCAATAAATTTAACTTAAAAACTCTTTTTACTAAAACATAAATACAATAAAAAAGTAGAAACCTTTCTACTCCACATGACAAGGAATTCAAAATCACTAGGATTTAATCTCAACTGGTTTGATTTTTTAAAAATTGACACATACACTACTGATGGAATAATTCCTTTGTGAAAGATTTCTTGCATTCTGAAGGTCGATTTAGAAATATATGCTGGAAGAATTAAAAATAGCATTTACCTTTGACTTGGAATTATCTTCTAAGCATTTATCCTAGGGAAATAATTATACAAGTATACATTTACTTATAGCTCAATTTAAAATACAAAAAAATGAAAAGATTCTAATTGCTTATCAATAGAGAATCAAATAATTTTGGCATATTCATAAAGTGAAATACTATGCAGCCAGTAAAAATAATTTTTAATAAAAAGACATGTATTTTCAAATGTAATAAGATATAATGCTAAGAAGAAACAAGATCATAAAACAGTATGTGAGGTATAATTCTATTATTATTTAAACATCTAATGTACAGCTATATTTTTATATTTAGAAAGGATTATCTGTGTAGTGTGATTTATGTTCATTTTTAACATTTCTTCAATTAATATTACTCATTAATGGTTACATAATTACTTCATAATTATTGTATTTTAAAGAAATGCATCCAACACATTATCATCTTTTGCTTTGCTGACTTTTAAACTGATCAAGGTTTATGCATAATCCAACACAATGAGAATGAACAAAACATCACATAACAAACAAAGCAGAGAGAACCACCCCTAAGAAGTTGCACCACCTAAGTGATATCCATGAGCGGACCGTGCTACTTAGAACAAGAACGGCAAGATTTTGTGCAAAAATAAAAATAAAAATAAAAATAAATAAATAAAACCCACAGAAAACGAAAGAATTGTAAGAAATTTATTTTCTTAAGAGTAATTTAAGGAATGATGTCCAATTATTTTTATCAGTCTATTCAATTGCCGTAGTCACAACAGTTCTATGAATATGCAGATTAAAAGATAAAAAATATTTTCCAATTTTGAGCTCTGTCAAGTATTTAAAACAGAAGGTGGAGAGAACTGGGCTCTTTAACAAGAAACAGCTATTCTATTTGCACCCTGATGGCTTAGATTTTTAGAATCCCCTCGTTTATGGTTCTTCCACTAGGGGACATGCGGCAGGACCTCACATTCCCTTTCTCCCCTTTGGGGAATGTGGGGAAAATCAGGCATGGGAAGTTAAATGTTTTGCACACTGTGAGTTGGGCATTGTGTCAGGAATTTCCCCACTTTGTTATATTAATCCTTATAACAACCCTAAGCTGCTACCAAACTCTGTTAGAAAACTGAAAGAGAAGTTAACCTATTGGGTTGGACTACTGTCCCAATCAGCAGAGGTCTCGGTCTTCCCGTGGTAAGTCATAAAGCGGGATCTCAAACCCTGGTCTTTGTTATTGTAAAAGCCATGTTTTTTTTTTCCCCCCCATCGCACCATCTTTCTCTCTAAATTATTTGCAAGAAGAATGAAATAATTAAAGCCCCCTAAAAGCATTTATATCATCATTTAATTCCATTAAACTAGGAAACATGTATCATTGATGGGAAAGCATAAAACCCACCCACCTTCTCTCTATTTGGTTATCTTCTTTCTGGTTTTAAACTAGTTCCGATTACTGGTTGTAAGCTGAAAATTACCTACAGAATTTTAACACTTAAAAATATTATAAATTATTTTGTAGTTTGTAGTAGTCTCCTCTTACCCAAGGGGGATACTTTCCAAGACTTCCCAGCAAATGCTTAAAACCACAAATAGTACCGAAGCCTATATATATATAATGTTTTTCCTACACATACATGATTTTTCAGTTAAAGAAAGCACTTTATGACTTGTCTTTTGCATATCCAAATTGCTAGGATCACTCCTCTAACACTTTGGAGCCATTATTAAATAAAATAAGGGTTACCTGAACACTGAGCTACCATGGCAGTGGCTTAGTTCATCAAGATGGTGGCTACTACGTCACCACCAGGCCTGAGCGTAAAGGGTGTAGACACGCTGGACAAAGAGATGATTCATGTCCAGGGCAGAATGGCATGAGGTTTCGTCACGCTACTCAGAATAGTGCCCGATTTTAAACTTGTACATAGTTTATTTCTGGGATTTTCCATTTAATATTTTTGAACTGAGGTAGACTGTGGGTAACTCAAACCTTGGAAAGTGAAGCCACGGATGAGAGGGGAACAGCTGTATAAAAAGCTTTCATATCCTGGGTTGGCAGGGCACATGTTATTATACCCTTTCTATAGATGACCCCAGCGAACCTCATTTTCCTGGTAGCAGAGGCCGGTGTCCGGGCTCTCTCCACACCGAACAAGGCTCTCTCTCTCTCTATTTTTCCGCCAAATTCTGCCCTTCAGGAGACCCTCATAAAGCACAATTCCAGACATGCCTTGCTTGGTTCCAGCTGGGGGTGAAATATGCCTTGCTATTCTCCTCTGCTTTAATAGCTAGGAAACACTGAGTAGGCAGGTAGAAAGAGTACAGCTTAATATACGGACTTCAGAAGCAGAATAGACAGTAAAAATGAAAGGCAGAAATATGGGATACCTTTTTATAATGGGAAGCTAATTTCACATGCAATGCCTCTGCTGTCTGTCCTTAGGAAACGCCTCAGGTGCTTAGTGTGAGAAGCAGTAGCTTGGAGACAGTAGGTTCAAATGGGACCAGTGCAACCGGAGGTGCCTCGCTGTGGAGCACACAGTAAGACATGGAAGCGAGAGAGCCCTGTTTATGGATCAGGGATGTGAACCAGAAGAGGCTTTAATAATACTTCCTCAACAGACTCTTTATTTCATCATCTGAGAATGCTCCAGGATAGGGAGGTATGCCTCAACAGACTCTTATTTCATCATCTGAGAATGCTCCAGGATAGGGAGGTATTTTTGGGTTCACTATGAATATAATAGAATGAGACATGGCTCTCATAAGGGAATGACCAAAGGCCATGCATACTCTCTCCAAGTAGAAAGCGGAGGTCACGCCTAGCATCCCCAGGGAAATACCAATACAGTTTCTGCCTCATTTCCCACTCACTGCCGGTGGGAGCAGTTTTGCTGACACTTTCCTCAAAGAGTCTGGACTCTGTGGTCATCAGGGAAGGAGACAGCTCCAGGGGCAAATTCAGTTCAACTGAACTTGTTTTCAGTCTGGCCACTCTCCCCCACCACCACCCCGCCATTACCACCCTAAACCCAGACTAAAGGAAACCTGAAGGGAGGAGCAGCAATTGTACCTCATCCTATTCCCAGCACCCAGCACAGCAGGTGCCATGTAGGAGGCACACATACTGGTTTGCTGAACAAAGCATTAAGGTCCAGGTTTACCCAGAGGCCCAGAAGCCTTTACTATATCCAGTTTCCAGATCCCCCCAAAATAAGCACATCTCACTTCAGGAAACAGAACCAAGAAAGTATTCAGACTCTAAAGAGCCTTAAAGACTGGCTGGTCCAATCTCCTAAGTTTACAGATGAGGAAACTGAGGCCCATAGAGATGAAGTGATTTCCCTAATACTAGGTCTCAGATCTCCCAGGTACAGAGCTGGTGCCACACTGAAACGTGTGTTAATTGAATTACTTTTTCTTTGAGTTACTTAACAATTTGAGAGATGTGGTTTTATCATCATTTGGCAGTGATCATCATTTTCTGACACCTTATTACTCTCCCTGGTCCTACTCTCCCCTCTAAGTAGTTAACTGCTTCTAAGTAAACATTTAGGTGCCCAAAGGGGACAGTTACTTTTACAAACCCTTCTGGTGAATCCTTCAAAGCACAGAATGCTGTCATAATATGAAAAAAAAATCATTCAATTTAACTGTTCCAAGATTGGTATGTTGCATGCTAAGTTTTGTTTGTTTGTTTTTTCCCCCAGCAAGATACACTGCTGGAAATTCTTTTCTTATAAAGCAGAATCAGTTATCTTAAATGCAAATAGAAATGACTCCAAACCAAACGGTCATGGAATAGTATTATTGTGTACTGAAATTTGGATTTAACACCAAAAACTGAGCAGGACTAAACTTGTTGTCCTCAGTTCTTAAAACTAAAACATCTCAACATCTCATAAGTTTTTTACTTCCTTATTTTGGGGAGGGGGGAAAGGAGAAAAGAAAAAGCCCTATCTGGCACAAGTTAATTTAAAAGCCTTGTAAGTTTTTTTCATTGATTTAGAAAATTAGTGAGTGTTAGAAGTTAGGAATTCCATAAAATTTTCCAAGTAAATACTAGAACTGCTTTTTCTGCACTGAAACTAACATGATGGTTACAGTGTTTTGGATGTTCTACATATTGATTTATTCTACTGCTCCTGGGTTATTTTAAAGAAAGCACTTAGTTCCCAACCTCAGAGCCTATTTTCTATGACTTAGTAACATAATCAATATTTTTTGATAAAATCTCCAAAGAGCTCTTCAAGCCATCCATCAAAAGTGGAGACATTTATTTTTCAGAGGCAGTCCAACGTGCCTCCCCACCCTGCCCTACCCACTTGGAGTGGATCTGAGCATGGGACTCAGAAGGGCAGGGCAATTTTCCTCTCCAGGGGTGAAGAAATAGCAGAGACCTCAGGGGCAGGGGCCAGCTCTCACCAAGGCCACCACTCTGGCATGCATTGCCCCAGCAGGGTACCTCTGCTTGCTTTGGTAACCCAGTGAAGCTGTTTTCTGCCACCATTACACTAGCCTCCTTAAATAGCTGAGATTCCTGAAGAGTAAAAAAGGCATCTTAAGAAAACATCCTATTT